GTCAGCTCGACTCATATCATTGTGGGAAAATTCTCCTTCTACCAGTCCTTCATCACCTTTACTTAAATTGGGTAAATACATCTCATATTACTGATTTACTGGTAGTCACGAAAAAAATACCTTATTCGAAAAATAGATTTTACTTGTTGTCCAGTTGATTAATCGTATTAACGACTTCCTCCTGATCCTTTCTGTCTCCTGTTGGCTTTGATTAGGTCAATTTTGAACCACAACGTTTGTGTGTTGACACACAAGCAACACTCTTTCTTTTAATTTAGTCACAAAAGAGCACTAATTACAAACACTCAAGAAGTGGACCAATGTCTTCCTATCATGAAATTATTGCAGTACTAATTGGAGTACAAAGTCAGGCAATCAGATTCCACCACACTAACTTCACTATTTTAGCTCCTTTAATCTGAGCCAACAAGCGATGGGTTATATGGACAAAAAATTACAAAAATGGATATGAAAATAAACAGATCCTGTGTTACTGAGACGTCAGAAGTGGTAATGAAAGAGCAACCAGACGATGCGATAGAGCTATAGGTCCCACAGTTCCAAAAATTTGATGCCGCCAAAGCTGCTTGTCTTGACCGCTTCTAGACATCACTTCCTGTTTAATAGATTAGCTGCATATCTATTTCACATGCAATCGGATGTTTCATTCAATCGATAATAGTAATGATAATAATAATGGTAATGCTGATAATGATAATACCAGTAGATTAATAAGTGGCAGTATATAGTCTGTCATTAAATATTTCTCAATTTAAGCCTACAGATTATCTCTATTAATGGCAATAAACTGCAAAATTCGGACAAAATGTTATGACTTATCGCTAAACGGTGTCTCTCCTGAGGACAGAATGTATCTCTGTTATTTGGCGTCAGGCTTTTCCTGAAACAGTTACTTGCACGGATTTTTGGCCGGAAGGTAGACTTCATGGTCTTTATGTAAACGATTGAATGTTGCATTAGTTTGCATAAATTATGCCTTTAGGAGTGTTTTTGGCCATGTTTGCACCTTCATATGCTACGACTATTGTACGGAAGTGACCCAGCAACTAATGCAATAAGTCTGACTTTCTTTCATCCAGCACCAAAATGCCAATCTCCCCGCTGAGCTCGTGCATCTTATTCTTACCAAACGACTTGATCCAGTCGATTTAAAAAGGCCGGAGATGAGAGCCTTCTTGTTGTTTCTGAGAACCACGGACTCTTAATCAGCGATGCCAACCCTACTCGAGAGAATAATGCACCTCGCCCAACCAATCCTCACAGAACTCAGGCTGGACGAATCTCTTTTTCCAGCCCCAATGGCTCTCTCGCCCGACCTCGAGAAGCACTTCCCTCGATTATGTATGCCAGCATAATGCATACAGCCAGGCAAGGCATTAACACAGCCTCAGCACTCGTAAATATGCATGCTTCTAAAAGCTAGGCCGGTTATCGGTGTAGCATCAGTGCAATTTAATCAGATCACAGAATTCGTATCAGAATATTATCTGTTTCGTAAAGGAACGAAAGGAATTGCCGACATAAAGCAGGATTTGTATTCATCCTATTTCGCTCACTTACGATAAATGAAGAGAGTTGATTGCAAGGCCTATTAACGAGGTCTTTTCTCAATTTTCACCTTGTTTTAGGGCTTTAAAGGACTAATACACCCGTTCACTATGGGCAATGTGTGCCGAAAATCTGCCCGAAAACAAAAAAGATATCAACAGAGTGGGTTTCTACTGCCGAGTGAGATGCATGAATTCAAGCATCACCGAAAGAGGTACGCCAAGTCGCTTTTCAGAGGCCATCGGTCGCGCAGGAAGTACCAGAATCAGCCGCCATACGACCAAAGGCAGCCGACCTGCTTGTTCCTGGGACGACAGGCTATGCGGCGATGGGGTGACGAGCCGGGGTATGAGGAGGCGGTGGTAAACCGTGCCTCACAGACTCCAGCCAACTGGTCGGAGGAATTGAGTGCTTCTTTTCGCTCTGCAACTCTCAAGTTGGCTCCGTCCGATGATGATCATCAGCCTGGGCTTGATGCGCCTCAGTCAGAAGGGCCTGGCGTCCCGATCCAAACAGGCGAGCTTGTAGGCCGGAAGAACTGTCCTGATTCACCACGTTCCCCAACCGTTCAGGCAGCCTCGTCGTTCCACAGACTGGACGTTGGCCTACTCGAGGCAAAGCAGTTCAGCAAATCTGGTGGAATGGTTGCACTCGACGAGACTTGGGACAAAAGTGCCAGGCAGTCGGTAGTGCGAGGCAGAAGACTGAAAGATGTGGATTTGATGCCTGTTCAAAAAAAAGAAGAACGATGGGAGAGTGAAAGTTGCGAAAAGGCAGAAGACGATGAGGAGGAGGCAAAGGCTAGCTTCACAGGACGTCTCAATCAAGCAAGTCGCCATGCGGGTCTTCAATTTGTCCGCAGATGTGAGTCGGAGACTTTGGGCAGACAAGCCAAATCGAACATTCGGGGCGGCAGACAGGCGGACACAGACAAAGATCGCAGGCTTCCATCTGCAGACCATGAAGCATGGCCTCCAGACAACTGGACGAAGCGGGCCGGGCTAACGGGAGAGAAAGTGAACAAACCTTGTCGTTCTGTGTCGACATCCCTAAAAAAAAGGGTGAGTTCAAGAGGGCCAATTTGTTAAACCATTACAAGCTAAGTGTTT